CATCTCACTTGCGCGACAGGTTCGCTCAAGATGACGTCCTCATGCGGTCCCTCGCGAAACCGTCGGACGGGGCGGTCGGCGGACGGTTTTCCCCCCCCCCCCCCCCCCCCCCCCTCTTCTCCACGACTCAGGAATCGACATGAACCACTTCTTCGACACCATCCTCGAGTCCTCCTTGGGAAACGACCTCGATCAGTACTCGGTCACCGACTCCGCGGCAGCCGTAGCCGTCGCGGCCGCCGGCATCACGGCGCCGGCTAACTCCGTCGTGGTGACCCCGCGCCCCCTCTCGTCCATCGTCCAGGCAGGCTCCCCCCGAGTCCAGGTGCCGGAGCCCCCGTCCACTCCGCGGGGCCCCTCCTCCTTCGACGACGACGACAAGAAGAAGGCGGCCGTCATGTTTGCAACTCCCGCGAGGGCCGGTAGGGGCGGTGCAGCCGACGACAACAGGGACGCCGTTGCCGTGTTTGCGACTCCTGCCCGGGCCGGTCGAAGCGGTGCAGCGGAAGACAACAAGAACGCCGCCGCCATGTTTACAACTCCCGCGAGGGCCGGCAGGGGCGACGCAGCCGACAACAAGAACACCGCCGCCATGTTCACGACTCCGGCGCGGGCCGGTAGGAGCGGGCGGTTCACCGGAGGAAAGAAGCGGCACAACCGAATCATGTGCTCGTCTTTCGAAGAAGAAGGGGAAGAGGAGGACGAAGCGTTCGGGGACGGAAACGACGGCGGCGCCGGTGCGCCTCCTGCCGGTAAGCATGGTCTCGGGGTTGACGCCGGGTGTTTCGGGAGGCCGAGCAACAACAACGGCAACGGCAGCGGCGGGATCCGGCGGAAGGGAAGCGGCATGATAAGGAACATCGTCGACGCCGTGACGCCCGGCCGCGAGCGTCGGCGAGCGCGGCACCGCCATGAGGCCACCGCTACCACTGCTGCTGTTGCTACTGCTACCGGTACCGCTACCACTACTGCTGGGGCTGGGGCTGGGGCTGCCACTGCTGCTGCTGTTGCTACTGCTGCTCCTGCTACTGCAGCTCCTGCTGCTCCTGCTGCTCCTGCTCCTGCTGCTCCTGCTACCGCTACCACTACTGCTGGTGATGGTGCCGGCGCTGCTGGTGATGGTGCTACTACTGCCACTGCTACCACTGCTGCTGCTACCACTGCAGCTACTGCTGGTGATGGTGCTGGTGCTCGTGCTGGTGTTGCTGGTGATGGTAGTGCTACTACTACTACTGCTACCATTGCTGCTGCTACCACTACCGCTACTGCTGATGCTGGTGCTGGTGCTGGCGATGGTGTTGCTGCTACTGCCACTGCTACCACTGCTGGAGGTGCTGTTACTGCCGGTGGTGCTGCTACTGCCGGTGGTGCTGCTGTGGATGGCGCCGACGCCGCCCAAGACACCGCAGCCGCAGCAACTCCCGAGCCAACTCCCGCCATTGCGTCCGCCCCAATCGCCGCTGCTGAGGCTGTCCCCGCTGTAGATGGGGCAGCCGCGGCTGAGAAAAAGGCGGGTAGTGATGGTGGGGTCGGTCGCGCGAACGCCGTGGCGGCCGAAGCTGCCGCCTCCATGAAGGCCCAGAAGGATGCGGCCGCCGCCGCTGCTGCCGTCAGCGCCGTGATCGCGGCGAAGAAGGCGGAGGACAAGAAGAGGGAGGCCGAGGAAGCGGCTGTCGCTGCAGCTGCTGCCGCCGCCGCCGCCGCTGCCGCCGCCGCTGCCGCCGCCGCCGGTGAGGAGACGGTCCCGGAAGAGGCTGTGGTTCCGGCGGATGCAACAACCCGTGACGAGAGTGTGCAAGACGAGGTGGTGGAACAGGAGACACATGTAGGAGGAGAGGAGGAGGTTGTTGTAGTCGACGCCGTGGCGGAAGAGCTCAAGGGGGAGAACGATGCTATCGTGAAGCCGCAGCAACAAGAGATGGAGGAGGGCGATGGTGTGGTCGTGGAGGGAGAGCAGTCGAGCGACCGGAAGATGCTCGTCAGCGAGGGCGTAGTGATGGAGCGGGCCGACATCGCTGGGGCTGACCTTGTCCTGGTGAAGGGTCAGCTGGAGGGGGCCATGGACGTGAAGAACTTGGACATCGAGAAAGGGTGAGTGGCTTAACAAAGGCAACAGCCGGGGGAGGTTGTCCGTTGATTTGGTGGGATTGCTCTTCTTTTCTAGAGTAGGACGCATTCGTTCTTCACGCGTGTAGATACGTGTCGGCGTGGTGTGTGTGTGTGTGTGTGTTGTCTTGGCTGCCGAGCGCTTGCCCCACCTTTCGCTGCGTCGCCGGTATGGTGGAATGTAGTAGCATGCGTGAGCCCGCTTGTTCGGCGTTTGATCTCGCGTATTTGTTTCCGTTTGCCAAACTTCATACCTGTTGCGTTCTTTCCCTCTTCTTTCCCTCTCGGGCACACCAAACGGCTGCTAACTCCACGATTCACTTAAATCCTTCCTAATGTCCAACTTGGGTACCCCTACCCCCCTCCGACCCGCCTGTGCATGAACCAATCACAGAGCCATCGTGAAGGGAGACGTGCTCGCCGACTGCGTTACCGTCAAGGGTAGCTTCGACGGGAACATCGAGTGCAAGGACCTGTTGATTGTCAGGTGTGTTGTCGGTGTTGATGGCAGTGTGACGAATCCGTCCACCGGCGATGACCGGCTGCCTGTGCTCGCTTTTGTGTGGGTTGTCGTTGTTGGTTGGAATGTGGGGGATGTCGCAGTGGTGTTTTGTGTTCCGGGTGTGTGGCTGTTGATCTTTTGGCGAGAATGTTGTAGTAGAGAGTAAAGGGTCACGGACCGTTTTTTTACATGACTCATCCACGGACCGTTTTTTAGCATGGACTCACCCCACGAGTTTTGCACAGAGGCCACACGTTTTGCGACGACAATCCGTTCCCCACCGAGAGTACACCCAGTCTCAGTATGGTACCCACGATCTCCTCCCTTCCCTGTCCTGTCCCTGACGTCTGTCTGTCTTGCCTTTGTTGAAAAAATGCAGGCGCGGCGGTACGTGCTCCGGAAAGGTCTCGTACGCTGAGATGAGGGTAGAGCCCGGGGCTAACGTGGAGGCCACCATGCGACTCCTCGGCGCCGCCGATGCTAAGGACAAGGACGGGTACCCCACCGTCCTCTCTCTGCCCGCTGGCGCCTTCGCGGTCGCACCCACCGCCGCCGCCGCCGCCGCCGCCGGCACCACCGTTGTCCCGACGGCAACGGCGATAACGGCGATGGCACCGCCGGTCGCGCCGGCTACCACTTCGGCTGTGCCGCCGCCGTCGCCTACCTCCGCATCCGGAGAGGAGGGGCCGGAGACGGCGGCGACGTCGACGCCTTCGGCATCGTCGGAAACCCCTGCAGCTGTAGCCGCCGCCGTTGACCCCGCTTCTCCCGCCGCCGCCGCCGCCGCCGCCACCGCTCCCGCGGAGTTGATCTCGACGGAACTCCCGAGTCCGTCGAGGCGGTCGTGGACCTGGGCTGAGGTGCGCGCGGCCAGGGCCGGGGGCGCGGCCGCTGGGGGGCTCGTTCGGCTGCGGGCCGCGTGGGTCAGGCGGGCGGCTGC